TTAGAGTAAATATGAAGCTCAGGCCTGCAAGCTAAGTCTATGCTTTTAGATTTCTAGGGTTTTGTTAACTCTACATCCATGACTCCTATATTCTCCTCCCTTTCTTGGATGATTTTTTCCCAGCTTTTCAAAATCTACCCCTTCATCACTGTATTTGCCCTCTCTCTCTCTCTCTCTCTCTCTCTACTGGTAAATTCCATCTATAATCCTTTTCAATGTCAACTACTTTCAGCTCATTTTGTAGATTATCTCATACTTACTGTGCATTTGTAATTTCTACTTTAATAAGAAAACATAAAGTTGTGGCTTCATACAACTGTCAAAATTAAATTTGTTGTATTTACCGAAAAAGAAAAAAAAATCATTATAAATTTTATACATTGGAACGACACAGAGAAAGGTAGCATAGTTCTTACATAAGGACGTCCCGCACAAATCGAGAAATAGATGCTGAATGGTTTGATTTCTCCACGCTAATTGTATGACTTACATAAATTATTTTGATAGAGTTGCCTAGATCTTTCAATAAGTTGAATGTGACAGTTTCACAAATATTACGAAAACTGTTGTCTGGTGCAAGAACGACCATACATGAATAATTCTAATAATAGCTTTTATTGATAATCGCAATAATAAGCTACGGATTGTTCTAATTATTGGAGAAGTCAAAAGTTAAAAGTATGATACCTAGTACACCTACAAAAAAAATTGATCAAACAGATAATTACGTGTTGGAAACTATGTCAATATAATGAAAAAATATCCTTGTTCTTTAGACTTGGATAACCTGTTTTTGATCAAATCAGGGAGGAAATTTATCGAAATATGCATAAATTAACGCGAACATCTCCTGACCGTTGAACTAAAAAAAAATATAATCAAAAAATATTCAATATGTGCTCACCAAAATGTGGTGGTAACGGTAGGTGATATTCACATCCAATAAAACGAATTCAAAACTTGCGGACTATATTTATTCCATCTTTTGAACCCCGAAGAAAACGAGTAAATATTGAATACAACGGTGATACCATGTCACCATTGATAATATGGTATCACCTTCCAATAATAAAACCCCAAATGAGAAAAGTGAAACCCATTTGGGCTTACATAGCAGGAGGGTGAAAAGTTATTTGTTTACATGACAGGTTAGTTATTGATTTTTGTGAGTTCCGTGTGCTTATTTATTTTAGTATTATTAGTTGGTGATACCACATCACTTTGTCACATGGTATCACCGTTGTAATGAATATTTTCTCGAAGAAAACCCCCGATTCTTCGGACCTCATATCTCTTTTGATTCTATATGTGTGGACACCTAATATCTATGAGGGTTTCACTCACCCCGGTTACAACATTCCTTTCTATTGAATAATTACAACACTTTTTTATCAAACACATTAATTTTTTTCAACAAAATTTCTCATAATTTTGCAAGTGACCACAATTAATTAATTTACAATATTTTATGTGCAATGCTATTTAGTGTCGACCTTAGTTGTTGACTTTGTCACTTTTTGTCATTGGGATCGACAATGGACTCTATTATTAGTTTGAACTCGTTACCAATTCAATAACTATGATGTATTATATCAACAAATAAGATCATCAAATAAGTCAAAAAATAGTATTATTATTTTTTCATATTGTATAGGTAATGTGTACCACATGGCCCTGCCATGTGCCTGGTGAGCTTGGAACTTTTCTCCAATATAATGCCTACGCATTAACTGAAGAATAGCACAGACAACTTTCAATAGTTCATGCAGTGAATGAATGGTGAGGTTTTCCCGACCTTATCTCAGTTGGTGAAGAAAAAAAAAATGGTGAGGTTTTCGAACGTTTGAAGAGGGTCATCATCCCCTTGGCCACAGTATAATTTTTATCCATGCCACCAGGTTGCTTGCAAGTTTAGGGTTTTTAAGCTTGGGTCCAGTTACGGTACCGATAAATAATTTTTTATTACTGGACTTCCACTTTTCATCTAATAAAATTTTGACACGTGTAAAGTTTTTCATGTTTTCTTGTTTTTTTGAATTTTTATAATGAATGACTACAAATCAATAAAATCAAAATATCAACAAAAAAAAAAAAAACTATGATTCTCAATCAATTTCAGTATGGACCCACGTTTATTTTTTTTGTGCTGTCATAATGTTCATAGCTTATACTCTTGTTATAGATTTTTATCCATGCCACCTAAGGGCATGGTTGGTTATAGAATTGAAAATTTAATTCTATTTTAATCTATTGTGGTGCTAATATATAATTGATCCACAATTTTATCTTTTCTTTATTATAACATGTTTGGATCAAGGTTAGCTTAAGATATGAGTCCATTATTCTAATATCGATATTATGCATAAATGAGGAGTTAGTGTATGGTATTAAGTATAAAAAGATGGAAAGCGCATTTAAATTAATGCATAATTCTTTTGTATATGAGAATACTCTTGCCATTTTGAATATTTGTACCAATCATGTCTCATTTAATACTATCATTGTATGAAATTAATTTATACAAAGTATGAGGTGTTCGATGACATTTTACCATTAGACTGATACCAAAATATATTTTTTTCAAAACTTATAACTTGATCCAATCCAATCCAATCCTTAGTATTACATGAGGACTGAACTACTAGAGCGCCCTCTAAGTCCAAGTCCATTCATTGGGGTTGGGGACGGATGAAATCAATTAAAAATGAAAATCTCGCAAACAAAGAAACCGCAGCAAACTCATGTCAGAAGAGTTTTGAGTGTGAGCTACCACTCATGCAGCGGCAGGGACCCACAACTCTCGAAGGGGCCACCCACCGCCCGAATCACTGTAGACTAATCTAATCCAATATCACTGTCTTAATACCCCCCAAAAGGTCATGCCCTTAAAGTTATGCAAAACAAAAGTCAGATGTTCTGTATATGTAGATGCGAGTATATTGAGACAGTGTGAGTGCAGAGTCTTGTGGAAGAGTGAAGGAAGTGATGCTTTCTAAGCCTCAGACTGATGTTAACTGTTAACAAGAATAAAGCGAGTTTCTCGGTTGCTAGATCTTTGATCTTCTCTCTTTGCCATTCTTATCAGTTATCATGCCTCGCTTTGCTTATGTATATATGATGGAAACCGAACAAGTAAACATGGTAGAGAGAGAGAGGGAGAGAGAGACCTGAATTTGATTTTCCAATGTCGGGTAACTGTTTCTTAATCAACTCGACAGCTGAATAAATGCATGCCAATTCCTCGCTGTCTCTCTCCCACTGTGTCATGCTACAGGTGTAGATTTTGTTTTTTTTTTTGGGTCAGGACAGGTGTGTAGATTTTGAAAAGCTAATATCGATGAGTAAATGACGACCAACTGACATGTCTTGGGAAATGAAACAGAGCGCAGACTCGGGTATCGTCCATGACAAATCTTTTCTTTTCTTTTCCCTTTGACTATTTACTGTATTATTGTATGTCTTGTAAGATGTATCTGCAAAATGACAAAAACAGCTGGGTTATTTTACATTTTCTCTCTCTCTCTCTCTCGTCTTAACACACACAGATTTAATTAAATAGTGGGTTAAATTACACTGACACCCCCTAGATTGTCTAATTACAGAAATATACCCTCAATTTTTTAAAATTACACTGACATCTTTTACTGTTTACCTACCAATTTCACAAAGTACCCTATGAATAGTATCTTTATTGATAGTGTCAAAAAAGAACATGGCGGGGCTGAACTCGATGAGACATTTTTCTGTCCCTAAAAATGTAGAAATGATAAGCATTGCTACTAACTCCTCATTAAAAGTTATTATAATGGTGTTCTGATAAATTTGGGTACCATTTGATAATATTTTCCTTATGTTTAACGTTTTGCTTTTTTTTTACTTGCTTCATACAAGTATATTTGCTTGTATAATGGAATATGTATACCAATATAGTAAATGTACTAACAATCGCCATTTGCGACGTATGAAATTTGCAATTTGATCTCCACCGTCACTCTAATCCCATGACTCACCATCACACTCTTACCCCCACATTATTCAAAATTTATCTATTAATGTGGTAGATTTATTATTTTAAAAAAAAAAGTAAATGTGCAGTAGTTTCCAAAGAATGTGATAATAAATTTGGAGTTGATAACAAAGATAGTTACATGGATTTACATGTAAGAGTTTCTCTCTCTCTCTCTCTCAATTTGCTCTCTAGAAAAACACATTTTTTGTGCGTGGGTTAATCAAGTGATAAAATACAAAGCCGCACGCGTAACCTAAAGAATAGAATTGCATTCAAGGGCGGAGTCAAAACATATTTTTATAGCAAGGACAACTACAATTGCTAATTGAGATCCAAAAATCTATCATAAATTGTTGATTTAATGATGTGACAATAGAGATGTTAAATCCAAAAGTGTTATTGAAATATAGAAATAGCAATAAATTTATATAAATTTTTAGTGGGGACAAATTTTAAAAAATTATAAAAAAAAAATTAAAATTGCACTAGAGACAATTGTCCCCCACTGTAAATCCACCAGTGAGTGCAATACCGTGAAAAATTGTAAACCCTACCTACCACGCAGCCCGAGATTCAGACATGAATTTAGTTAGTATAATGAACTACCAAACCCAGTGCACAAAGACCAGCAAAAGTAAGTAATTTGTTTAGATTGGCATTTATTTAAAACAGGAATGCATTTGTATTAAAGACAACATGACGAACAAAGAGAGAGAGAACTTCAGCAATAGATGAACAAGAATTACAGCAAGAAACCAACTCGTACTGGTCAACATCGATCAGTAAAATAGAGAAACTATTTAATGCAATAGCGACACGACCTTATTATTGTCATGAAGTGTCACTCTATCTAATAAAAATGCAACAAAATAGATAAAATAAACCCCCACTTTTCGTGGTTACCCAATGATCATTGTGAAATCCAATTTCTCACTTGTTATGTTGCCATTGAATGGTGACACCACGTGACGATGATGATGTAATGTCACAGTTGCAATGAATACTTTCTCAATAAAAAATATGAAAATGTATTATCAATCTGGGTAAAAGAAGAGTGTGCTGAACTATATGGGATTACAACCCGTATTATCAACAAAATCAGGTACATTGCTAAACCATGGGTTTTGAAACCCATTACCTGAAGTTCCAACAAAAAAAAGCCACTGTGTGATTGAATCTCACGTCATTCATTTACAGTATCGCCTATATCAAGTTCACTCTTTAGATTACCTCTCTCTCTCTCTCTCAGTTTACAAAATTCACGCTCTCAGAAGAAGCAACAGTTGAGAACCGGGAAAAGAAAAGTAAAACAAAAATGTTTAGTGTATGGATGTAAAAAGGATACTCTAGTCAGCAAAACTTCACAATGAAGGTACCTTGAAGATATGAAAAATGAAGAGACTGAGAACACGAAGGCGGGAATGGAATCAGGAGAGCTGGAGGGCCATCTGTTGGAGAAGTAACTTCTTCTGTGATGCATTGATGAGGCCTTTACACTCGGCATCCACCAAAACATCCGTCATAATTGCAGCTGCATGACCCCGTGGCTCATCGGAGCCTGATGCTCTCCTCAACATAAAAACCTGATCACGACCACATTGGTGGAAGCAAAAATAAATCACTTCTCAAAAGGCAAGAAACTAATAAAACAAATTGGAATACAGGATGCATAGGCATTCAATTTTAATCCCCCAAAAGGCGAAAAGCAGTATCCATTTTTGTATTGTTATCCATTTCAATTGAATCATTTCCATATGCAAAGTTTTTGGACTGTATAATTTCAAAGAAAACTAAATGGAAACCCCTAGCAAAAGTTTGGAATTAATGTATTCAAAGGAGGACGATGATACCACAAAAGGAAGTGTCGAATATTATTTTCTTTTTCTCTATTTCAGCAACGGGGAATTGTCCAGACCTCATACCTTTTGAACTCACGACTACAATACAAACCTCATGCACGCAACCACACCACCCTGACCTGCCTTAGAGAGAGCACTAAAATACCCTCATAAATCACCCGTTACAACACAATCCTGGGTTGTGAAAGCACATTCAACCAGCCAACCCATGTGACAGTTCCACTGCCCTCTTTTATGTCCTGTAATTAATTAGTTAGCTTATTATATCTCACCAAAACCTCCTTTCCTATTTCTCCCAGGTAATGCTTAGGTGCAGTTATCTCACTTCTCATCTGATCCAAAGATATAAATGCAGCTCTACAACAAGGTTCAAACTATGAGCAAAAAAAAGGGTGTTTAAAAAACACGGATATACAAAACAAACAAGAGAGAAAGGCAAAAAAGAAATTACATAATGAGACAAATCCCAAGAATTAAAATGACATGATAATACCGATAAAAAAATGACAGGATAAACCCACACTAAGTCTCAACGCATAATCCAGTGAAAACATGAACTTCTAACTAGGCTAGTAAAGCTTCAGAATCTTTCAAGGAAAAATTTTATAATGACTGAACCAACCCTGGATTACTTGTTCTCCGCATGCACTGGTGGTATAAATCTGATAATTGATGGAAGGTGAAAGAAATAACCTATGTAGCAACTGATCTAAGACAATTCTAGATAAAACTGTATTTTCTTCTAAGGATGAGAACTCTTGCTACACGCATATGCAAGAGTAACATGTAATGTTTGAAATGAGCACCAGCAGTATATCTTCTGACGTAAAAAAGCACCATTGCAACACTTGAGGCCAATCAGAAAACTGATCCCTTCAATGATACCCTATATCATAGGGCAATACATCCCAATAATGGCCAACACTATTAACCACAAAATATAACCAAAGAAAACTAAGCATTTTTGTTCCTTCTTCAACCATTGTTTTCCCTCTGAGAATTTAGGCAGGGGTGGGAATTCAGATTGTTAAACATAGAAGTTCAATTCACAGAATTTAAAGCACGAATTCTTCAACAATGCATGTTTGTAAGAGACGACCGAACATATTATTATGGATGTCAACACCAAGCAGTTGATAGATACCTGTCCATGATGTGTTATTTCTAAACATCCAGGTTGTTGGATAAAAGGCTCCCCATCTATTTGAACCGGGAAAGGACTTGACAAATGTATCCTTATTACTTGCCCTTGGGCTAGCCTCCTTGCCTGTGAAAGTCCAACCTATACAACAGAACAAGAGCTCAATTGGCTTTTATGTAGATTAACATAGCATAAAAGAAATATTTCTGTGCAGGGCTCAAAAAAAGAGATTACAACAAGCGTTCCTAAAATTCCTTCCATAATGAAAGGAAAAACCATCTTCAATTCCTTGCATAGTTTAGAGTGGGCACAAGACCTGCATGTGCACCACAAAAGGTTCTTTGCATTTATGCATGCATGGGAGCACAGTAATGAATTATACAGTGCACAACACACGTAGTGATGCAATCTCAGATTAAATACACATATTTCTACCGCATCATACAATACTCACTGCAGTAACGATGGCAATCACAGAGCAGCCATAGCGAATTTACTACTTGACCATTATATTGCATTCTTCACAAAAATCAATTTTCACATTTTCTGGCCTTAAAAGCAAATTGAAAAAAATATATACATTGCTTTAAACTGCTTATAGGTAATAGCATACAAAAATGAAATTCAGCTTAGAGGTTTTTATTTGCAATTTTTCATTTAAGCATTGTTGCCTGCTACTTAGTATATAATTGCCACAATTTTTACTATGCTCCAAAATGGTGCTGCTTCTATCTTCTTTAAGAACAATGGAAAAAGATAAAACGAGAAAGAATGGATAAACAGAAAAAGAGAATGTTGATGAAGTAGAGACCATGCCACATAATCATACAATTAGAAGTTGGAAGAATAATGAAAGAAAGGAGAGATTATAATTGCTAGGAGCAAAAGGCTAATGGATTACTGATTCAAGTTTCTTATACAATCATGAATTAATGTTTTATTGTTTATCTTTTTGTAGATGTGTTTATTCCCATCAATGTACCCAAAAAAAAAAGTGTTTATTCCCACCTTAACTGAACAAACTTATAGAGTAAATCATAATGGAGGATAAAAAAACTAAAATGACACTGTACAACATAATCAGATAATTTTATGATTTTAGAAAATTTTACCAAAAAGCATGTCAAATGTTAAGCCAAAAACGTAAGTCAAAGTAATGAAATAATAACCCAATTGACCAAACACCAAAACAAAGCACAAGCAAATTTCAAACCTGAAGTTTTCCAAGGTGCCATGCGCCAGAGACACATACAACCTCAAGACTTTTGTCATGAATATACTGATGGTTGAAACTATCATCATGCTCATAATCGTTTTGCCACAGATCCACTCCGCCCATATAGCTGCCTATGTTGAGCACAATTAAACCCTCAGCATCCTGAAAAAGAATTAAGCAAGACCACATTAAAAGTGTCATAAACATAATGAAAATTAAATCATCTAATTGCTTTTCCTGGGGTATTACTAGTGTCATACCTTAGGAATTTGGATGTCCTTCCCATCAACTTCAAGCCAAACTTGCCATGGCAAGTCAGCACAAGTCCTGTCCATTATAACCCTTGCACCTTCTTTTGCATATCGTAATTTATTCACAAACTGTAGCAGAACTTCCAGTTAGCACAAAGGCAACAATGTGCAAAATAGAAAGAGGACAGGCATATCCAGCCCAAGAAAACAACTCTAAAGCATGTAAATAACCAATCCTGCATGATGTTGAACAGTAATCCCCCGAATTCATTTTTAGTTTGTTGTTTTGTAATATAAATACGTAAAACAGTGTGTGGAAAGATGCATAGCATATGTGCATGCTATCGAGTGCCAACCCATAGCTCCCTAAATAGTAACTAGGAAAATATTTGCCCAAATCATATATTCCTACCTGGCTGCAAAACTTGTAAGGGTTTTCTTCCCGAGTCAAATGAAATTCATATGCAACCTTTGCATCACACCCAATGCCTGCAAACAAGAAGCTTGCAATGGCGTTATGCTGATGGTAGAAACAAATACTATTGGGAAAATTTAGCAAATTATATAAAATTTATTGAATATCCTAGGAAGAAGCAGAAAAGCACATTACCTAAATAGTTCATCATGAACTTGGATTGCACTTTATTTGGATTACTATCAGATTTTTCTTCCATTATGTCAACTTTCCAGCGATCAAGCATTGTAACGGCAGCATGGTTAATGTCATGCAGAAGAGTGCCTAAACCACCTTGTCCTTCAACCGTCGAGAATCCTCCCCCCCATCGCAAAACCCTTGACAAATCATTTCCGGTTCCCAGAGGAAGAATAGCAACAGGTGGAGGCGAATCGAAATTCTGCTTCTCAATTGCATCAAGGACCCAGGCAACTGTACCATCTCCACCACAAACTAAAACCTTGAAATATTGCACACTACTGAACAGCTTCAACCCAACCTCAGGCCCTTGGGAGGAACAGAGTTCAAAAACCTGTAACACAAAATGCCAGACTTAGCTAAAAACCCAAACATCACCACCTTGAACACAATGAAGCTACCATAGATTAAAAATTGACTAACCATTGTGCTTAGTAAAAACATGAAGAAATTCATGTGAATTTTATCCGGAAAAAATTGCATTTCTAGATCTTGAAGGGTGTCCATCCAAATATGATTAGAGTATGACCAATCAAAAAATCATGCAAAACCAAACAGTGAAGTTCATTATCCAATTTGATTGCCATTGATCATGAATGCTGGAAGAGGTGGAATGAGAAATAAACCAGCCTTTTTTGAATAGTTAAACAACCATCTACTCCAAAAACTTAAACTATTGGAGATGATGTAACTCTATGAAGCACGAATACTTCAAAAGGGTCAAAGTATCCGTATCGGATACTTTGACCCTTTTGATACGCATACGCGTCGGATACGTATCGGATACGTCTGAGAAGTATCCTAAAATTAAAAAAATAAATTTAATTTTCGGATACTGCCGGATACGTTTTGGATACACCTAGGATACGCATAAGGATACGGCGAGATATTACTTGAATTTTAAAAAAGTATAGGGACACAAGAGCAAATATATTTAAGCCCTTATTTGCAAAAAAAAATATATATTATGAAACTAAAACCTATCTTCTTTTATTCCACAGCCCCCCTTCAGTCGACGATCGTCTCTCTCTCTCTCTCTCACTCACTCACTCACTCACACTGACGATCGACTGACTGTATTTGACGCCAATCGACGACGGGTATCTCCTCTTTCACCTCCGATGAAGGGGTATCTCCTCTTTCACCTCCAACGAAGGGGTATCTCCTCTTTCACCTCCGACGAAGGGGTATCTCCTCTTTCACCTCCGACGACGGGTATCTCCTCTTTCACCTTGGGTAAATTTTCTCCTCTCTCTATTTTTCTGTCTCTCTGTCTTTTCTTTTGCCTTTTACCAGTGATTAGCACTCATTTTGAGCCTTAAATTAGGATTTGTAATTAGAGTTTTTTTTTTGGAGCAATTTGGAGAACAAACTATATTATTCAACAACTAGAGTTTTATGGATATATTATGGTGGCAACATGATTTGAAGAAGACTTTGGGCAGGCATCAGTACCATCTTTGGCAAATATAATACATTATGTATATTATACACAAACTAATTTATAATACATATACATATTCGGCAAATAAAATACATATACATATTTTGTGCTTGATGTCCTTGAATTAGATGCACAATAAACTGATTTATTTTAAATTATGAGATGCACAATAAATTACTACACTACTGAGTGCTGATTTATTTTATTAAATTAATAATTATAGGGGAATGAGTACGGGTAAGGAAAGTATGGACTCAACTGGTGGAAGTGGAAGTGGAATATGTAAGTGTCGTTTAAGCATGGACTTGATATTATGCAATATGTATGTGATATAGAATGTATGATTTATGAATGATAGAATGGTTAGTTATTATTATATATATTTGGTAGATGTGTGATTCACTTTATAAATCATAATTATAACATTAAATATAATAATAAAATTTTAAAAAATATATATTTTATGAACGTATCCTAGCCGTACCCGTATCCTATTTTTTTTTATTTTGCAGTATCCTCGTACCCGTATCATATCATATCCGTATCCGTGCTTCATAATGTAACTAAAGTATATATACTTCAACACGCCCCTTCACGTGCGGGGGCTAGATTTTGGGCCTAGCCGGTAAAAATATTTTTAATAATTAGGGTGGCAACAAGATTCGAACACACGACTTCCTGCTCTGATACCAAGTTAAACAACCATCTACTCCAAAAACTTAAATTATTAGAAAGAGTGTAACTTAAGTATTTATACTTCAACTTTAATATTTGCAAAAGGGTGGCTAGAGTTTTTACCACCAAATTAGCACATTGGAATTGCATAATTCATCAAAGAAAAAAAATCATTAAAAATTATAATCGTTTATTTCAAAGTGTTTATGCACAGCAAGTAGATGTGTTAAAAATATTCATTTGAAGCCAAGTACAAAACTTTACAAGGCAACTTTTTGATTGAGACGTAGATAGGTTCTAAAGGAAGGCGTGATTGAAAGCTCGCTTTCAGAATTATGCAGTTAAATGAGGGCAAATTCAATGAAGCTTATAGTCTCCAACTAACCTGGGGCTGGAACTTACATTGCTTATGTCATGTAATAAAAGCTCAAGTAACCATAGAAAAGGGTAGGTGCAGTCATTTAGATAACAGATAAAGCAAAATTTAGCTATGATTGATGCTTAGACAAAAAAATATAAGGATGTGAGTCACCAACACACCCTTCAATATCCTATGCATGCAGAACAGGTAAAGTAGGACAGAATCAGTATATTTTCTTTTTTCAGGTTTTCTTTGGAGTCAGAATCTAGCTAGGAAGATCTGTTTTACTCCAGACTGATTTGGTTTCCTATTCCATTTCAGCTCTAGTTTTCCTAATTTCTTAAGTCACTTTTATCATGAATAGGCTTATAACTTATAACTCATTAAGTCACAAGGCAAAGTGATACATCAGTTGCTTAGTAAGAATATGTTCAATGTTTTTTCTGTTATTTTCCTTGTGGCCTCAAGGTTGTGCCTTGTGGATTCAAGGTTGTGTGTGTTCATGATTCCATTAAGTAAATGTGTGTTTTCTTTCTGCTTGTGTAAAGGTTGTATATCCCGCCGCATCACAAAAGTGCTACAGCCACAAAATAGAGGTTAATGAGTTATCAAGTGCGATAAAAATCCACAACAAAGGGACATAGGTCAATTGCTCAGACAAGAGAAACGAAAGCAAACGGTATAATTATTGTCAATGTAAATTTTGAGTGAAAACAGGGCTTGTATAAACTAAGCGTTGTGAAAGTAAACAATTTTAAGAAATTACGTAGTTGGTACAATCAAGTATTGTGTGCTTTGGTTAGCTTGATCAGCATAATTCTCAAAAAACACATTGGATCTGTCCAAACCATGCTACTGCACTGAAATAATCTTAAACTCCTGCTTTCCAGCTATAGTTCAATCCTTATATAGATACATATGCAACAAACTTAAGAAAGAGGAAGAAACACTAGGGAAAGAATGCATATAATTTCAAGGAGACAAATTAGTGTTATCAAGACTCAAATAAGCAAATTTTCAGATACTTGCAGCTACAACAGGAAATTTGGCTGAAGCATAAGACTACATATCATCTTTCCACAGTAATGGTGATAAATTGTATTTTTTTTTTAATAAGACATGGTGTTAAATTGTATTTCAAAGACACAGAATTAACAACTTCACATATACAGGAGAAAGCACAGGAAAACCATAATGAACAACAAAGAGATGGAAAACAATATGTCAAAGACTTCTAAACAGGCAAGATGTGCACGCATTATGCATGGCGTGCATGTATTGCTTTGTCCTTTTTTCTGAATTATCAGAGATAGTGACAAAACAATACATATTGTTCTTCATTAATTGGATTAGAATCCTGTTAATGTTTTAAAGTATCTATTCTCATTATACAACAAAAGTTCCAAGTAGGAATAAATGTAGAAGTGTCACAAACTTGCTTCAAATCATTGAGCATGAATAGAACATCAAATCAATAGTAAGACTAAAGTGCAACTGAAGAAACGAAATTCATTTCCCTGATGAAGGTAGAAACATTTGGAAATCAACAAAACTCTTCAGGGTGGCATTGCGCAACAAGAACCACAGAAGAGTGCAGAAATCCAAGAACTAGATTACTTAACAAGAGGTAAGATTTGAAGTTTGAACTTCTAATTTTGGCAATAATTCCACTAAAGCAGAAGTGGTACAACTTCCATTATTTGACAGTTTAAAGAAATTGTAAAGGCATAGACTCTCTATTCTGAATTTTTCTAATACCTAATCGTCACATTTACTCACAGTTTTGGTCACAAACAACTATTTTTAACGTCTAAATAAAGGGAGAAGAATAGAGAATTCAACATCAAAGAGCTATTTAATTCCTTTTTCTTTTCTATGGAAAAAGTAGATAGCAAGAGTTGCAAAAGCAATGGTTAGATGTATTTCATAATGTGTTCAAACATTTACCTGAACAGGATTCAATAGCATGTTCAATCTCCTGCGAAGAGAAGGCCCATTTTGAGCTCCACTCTTGTTATTGATGAAGACAAGAAGAGGTCTTGCATCATGTGGCAGGTCCACAAGTTTATGCTTCGTATGCTTACCACAGAAACCACTTTCACGCTTTGTGTGGATTAAGTCATTGTGGGTACCCTTCTTACAAAATACTCTGCTATCCTTTGAGAAGTGATCCTTGTATTTTCCACTACTGGAATTCTTCAAACCAACAAGACCATCAAGCACATATTGCAGTGTTGTTTTGGTGGCAGAACCATCTTCCACCTTACCAGTAACCGGGTGATTGCTCCCATGTTTGTTCCGGTGGCGCTTTCTTCTAATCTGCCCTCGTACAGAAGAAGCAATAATTTCTTCTGTAATACAACTCAACATCCCTCCACCAATTGAGTCACCTTCATCATCTTTCACACACAGTGGAGAAAGAATAATCCTTCTGAGAGGACCTAAATCACAAACATCACCTAACTCTTCAGACATTTTGGCATGACATTTGACATGCAAAAGACGCTGGCACCATAAGCAATGCCATGTTGGAGATGCATCGAGAAAAGGAATACCACAAGGTTCATCGCAGTAGAAACAAAAGGCAGACATCTCAGGATTCTCATCCATGTTGATCCATCGTTCGGACCAGTGATGCTGCACTTGGCTAAACCCAGCTTGTGCAACACACTTGCAATCCTTTGCAGCAAACTGAGAACAGTGAAAATGAGCAGCTACACCACAAACAGAGCAACGATGGACCGGAGAATGTGATGTGGCTTTTGTGCCTAAACTTTGCGGGGACACTAGGGAAGTTAGACAAACACAACATGTGGATGGCTGCCCACCATATGCAAAATCTTCCGTCCATGTATGATGTGATAGTGGAACTTTTAGTTTTTTCCAGACTTGCTTCTTTGCTCTGGCAGCAGCTTTAACCCAATTAAGAGATGTCTTTCTCTGCCATTTAAGGAAGGCATATACAAGGGCAAAAAGGCCAAACGATCCGGTAACCAACCATCCAAAAACAAAGGGACCATAGGAATCTGAACTGGTCAGTAACCTTAAAAGTGGGATACTGATGTCAATCATTGTGAACTTGTTTTGTCATTATCCATCTCAACTCTCTTTCAAGGCGTATAAGTTTATAATGGTCAGCACCAGACGAATTCAGTGAACAAAACCTGAACAACATAGAACATCATCATTAATGAGAAAAAAAAAACAGAACAAGACATCAAAAAGAGAGTAGCAGACAAAAATAGGGAAAAGTATAAAGGAAGAACATGCACAGAAGATTAGAGAAATAGGTGCTTATCAAGAAAGAGTATAGGAAAAAAACATGCTTAAGACAAATATTCCTCAAGAGGAAAAACTAGGGTCCTGAGACAAAACACTAAGCAGGATGAAAAAATGTGGAATAGATATTAGGATACCATGGGTGTGTTTGGTTTCAAGAGTTTTTCTAAGTTTTCCTTTTTCATTTTTGAAGAACCTAAACTTGAAAACATGCTAGAGACATTTTTCAGGTTTCCTTGGGAAAAAACTGGAATTTGTACCCACTTAAAACCATCGTTATCAAAATCCCTAGCGGGATCGTACAACCCTACAATCCAGTATAGCCAGATCAATCTGGTCTCCTAAAAATTGTTGATTCATATAATCTTAATAGATTGAGATCCGCATAGTGTAGGATCATAGGATCCCAATCCCCCAATCCAAGTTTCTGGGTTGATTTGTTAGGCACCTTTAGTTATTGCGCAGACCCAGTCAATATTTATTTTTAATACATAAAGACCAACTGACGTGATTGTCCTATACACTTATTAGTCTATTTCAGTGGTTCAGCGGATGATAAAAACTGCAGGAAACTCTCTTCGTTGCAAAAAAAAACTCTTCATTCATTCCTCTCTCTCTCATTGAAGAATTGAAAACAACAATTAGGTTTGTTATCTTCTCTCTCAACGAGTGATCACAGCCACATATCATTCTCTTCTATTTTTTCATGGGAAGTCAAACAGCCAATGTCATTCATTTGAAAGCCTATCGAATTTGTCAATCTCTCCCCTGCCTCTTTTCTCTCTTAAAGTTAAGATCAACACACTCCAATTTCCGATTGCTCTTCACAAAGTCACATAAATTAACAACTCACTTCAAATTTTCTTGTAGTTTCTCAAGTTCTAATCATACATCTAAGTTCTACATGCTTATTCAAAATTTCTAAATTTTGCACATATACTAGGTTTGTTTATTCCAAATTTTAAGAATTTTGTATCATTACATATATATTTTATCCCATTTTTTCAGCTGTGGGATCTTACAACTCTCGATCCCATCATACGATCCAAGCCCTTTAGGCTCTCCCATCAATCCAAAGTAGGAGCCCAATTTTAAAAACTTTTTTTTAACCATGCTTATAACAGGGTTACTATCACTCAACCCCCAGCCCCATGTCCACCAAGATTTAATTTCTTGGTACATGGGCTCAATCTCAAATTTGATCGCAAGCAATATCTGCGACTCCAAGCAATGCATTTGTGAAGTAACCGCTACTATTTTCCGGTAGTTCTTCGCTCCTAACATTTCAATCAATTTTCTGCACATTAGTCTTATTACCTCACCAACAAGCGAACATACCATAGCCTCCGTCTTCATTTACCTCGCATAGACATCCCTTTTCTGAGCACCCCTATCAGCCTTAACAACGGTGGCAGTGGCAGAGTGGTGGAGAACGCAAGAGTTGTTGAATATGGCATGATTTCTCACTTTGAGTGTTTGAAACATGGATTTTCTCGTGTATGAAATTTTGAATGTGAACTGTCACCACACCATGCTTATCATCTATTCACCACAACTCCCTATTTCACAACCCCAATATTATAATCCTCTATTTTAAATTTCATCTGCACATGGAACACCATATAGAATGGCTTTTGTTTTTTTGTTTCCTAGGCAAAATACTTCTGACGATTGCTTCTTTATTTTGAGGGGTAGATATTTGCTTCTTCTGATATCTTCATCAAAAAATCCAATGGGTCTCTCTCTATTCAGTATTGCAGATTTTCATGCTTTATAGCCATAATTACTTAATCATCCATAAAAGCATTATTTGGTTGCCTAGTGAGACAAAGAAAGGAAGAACAAAAATCCCCAATCAGAGAACTGCGAAATCGAGCGAATCTTCAGATTTTTCATTTATTGGAAATATTTTCTGTTTTCCAAAACCAAACAAGTTGTCTGTTTCCTGAACTTAAACTAGTAAAATTTTCATTCACTAGAAAAAATAACGAATAACATTTTGAGGAACCAAATGATAGCCAAAGATCCAAATTTAGAACACAAGATGACCTAGAGTGTATGATAAAAAACAGTGTTGTCATTATTATGAGTGAATCCCTATGATAGTAAGCCTCCCAACGTGCCAAAAGCAATAGAGCTGAGGTGATGCATGAAACTAATTTCTTTAAAATGAAGTCTCAGACATCCAGTGAGCCCAGACTCATACCCCAGGTGGACCCCAATGAGGAACCCAGCATTATACATCGCTTGTGAAGCGATGCCCATCGTGGCCCTTTTCCCCAATTTTGGGGGATCCCAACTCAAAAGGCATACCTTTGCCATGGTTGAAAATCATGACATGGAGAATTCTATGATACCAGCTGGTGGCAACCCAACCAATGTGCCAAAAGCTCTACAGCTCATACAACATATGAGACCAAGTCCCTTAGACTGAATCCAACTGATCAGATGGTCTAGGTAGACTCAAGCTAGGACTGCAATACAATAGCAATCAAGTCGGGTGATCATAATAAAACAACTGTAACAGCCCTACTTTCTACACGACTTGCCACCCTGCCATCCACACTAAACTAACTTTCTGTCCAATAATAATAAATATGTGACTCCAAAAATTCTGCATGATAGCATTACAGAAAAAATTAGCCACTACATGTTACCAAAAATCCCTATCCAATGTAAACTGGACATAATTATTCAAAAATTCCATTTGATATTGCCATACCAAACTCATTCTTTGGAGTATGTACTAAGTTTCTAATTTTGAGCAATTACATTAAGCCTACCTACAGATTGCAAACAATCGCAAATTCTGACAGCAAAATTTCTAAAGATCCCAAAGGATATTCTAAAATGACACAACATGCTAACTCTTTCAAGGAGATAATAGTTTCCAACTTTCCAAAGTACTGCAAGCGCTTTCACAATGATGCTACATGGACCACTCGAATCAAATATTTCAGCTACATGCCCAAATGACATCCACACACTCATACAAGAACATTCCCCATGTTCACTACATTACCGTAGCTTAATTCAAGAGTGATTTAATGTAATTTCACATAGGACTCCCAGTCTTATTATTATTGGTGTTCTTGTTTTTACTTCTGAATAAATCTCTTGATTCTCAAGCATTCCATTTCAACTTATAGCACTCACCCAGGGGCAGATTCATACAGATTTTGAAAAAATGAAAATATTTATGAACTTTCTCAAACTAAAAAGTTCGTTAAAATTTAGGACTAGTTCTATATTTTAGAACATAAGTGGATTCTTCCAAAAATTAACAAATTAAACTTAAGCATCCGTCATATGAATCAGTCTCATGACTCTTTCCTTAGTCTCTCTTTGGCCTTTGGTTCATGAACGACACACCACGTCACCAACTCCATCCTCCTCTCTCCCTTCTTCCTCTTCAGTGGACAAGGACAACCCACAGACTATGGTTCGGTCAAATGCCTGAAGAATGCCAATGATCAGTGAGTCTTTTTATCTTCGGTAGGCTCGTTTTTTGTACACACTGCTCATGTATACCAATTGCGCTAAAGACTGTCTAATGAAACTATACTTGTAGGAAAAACATTATGAATTAATATTCTACTAATCAAACGTTAATATATGGTAATAATCAATTAATACAAGTTGTCTACCACAAAAAAATCCTCATCCCACACTCTTAGCTTTGTAGAAGGCTGGTGAATTTCAAAACTTATTTGTAAATATTCTGCAATGCGACTGTCAGGGCCGCCATTGAGGATTATCGAGAAAATTATAAAAGTAATTACAAAAAAAAATGTAAATCATCATCGAACGAAGCAAAATCAATCAACAACCGCTATTTTCCCTTCCTTGATTGCATAATAGAATTCAACCAGGGCCGCCTTTGAGGATTATCAAGAAAATTATAAAAGTAATTACACAAAAAAAAGTCAATCATCATCTAACGAAGCAAAATCAATCAACAACCGCTATTTTCCCTTCCTTGATTGCATAATAGAATTCAACCAGGGCCAAAATCGGGAAAAAGCCTCCGACACAATATATATATTCTCAAAATCATTCAGAACCGTTAGCTCGGATTCAATTGACAAGAACAATAAAAAAGAAAAGGAAAAATCAAACAGATCGAACGAACCACAAAGTTACCAAAAATTATCATCATAGTTATCACCACAGCACAAAATTCAAAAGGAATAAAACAGAATAACTCATATATATACATAAAGATATAGATTTACAGATATATGTCTGTGAGGAGAAAATCACCTGTGGGAGAGAGATTGAAAGAAGAGAAACCCCAAAAATTGAGAATGTGGGAGTGAGGATCTTCACCGAAAAGTCGTGGAGTTGCTTTGGCGAAGGGAAATCCAAAGTTGAATTGGGAGATCATAACCATGTTTTTTATATATAGAAAAGATCGGTGGGAGTGTTTCATTGTACATAGGAAACTTTTGAAGGAGTGGGAAGAGAAAAAAAGGTATGGCCACATGTGGCCCCACGGTATGGGAATGAGAGAGCTGGCGGGAATTTCTTTTTCCGGGTCCGGATCAGGATCCGGGTCTTCCCAAATTTAATTTTTGTCCATGTGATTAAAGATCTATGGGTGGTAGTTTTTTACTAGATAAAATATAGAAAAATATTAAATACATTTAAAAAATTAATTTAATAAAACACTACCATTGAATTTGTAGTGAAATCCAATAAATACTATGACTCACACAATTACATCAATGATAAAAATAACAATCACATTATCTATTCATATTTTTAAATTAATTTGTTAAATCTGTATAATA